ATTTATGTACACCAAATGCAGTTGCAACGTCCTGTTCACGTAGCTCAGGTTATCATCATCGTTAACCCGGTTGCGTTCATCTTTGTTAAGGCGTGGCATTGCAGCATCTACATTGCAATCAATTCTTAAATATGTGTTTAGTAGGTCAGTGTTTATGTTATTTCTCTAAATCCAAAATATCAATGAAAATAGACCCACAATTTACAAGAAATCATGTAAAACCATGATTAATCAAGAGAAATAATTCAACACTTGGGTTTTAAAAGCTGTCCTTTATAAACAGGTCACAGATATCCAATGATTAAAAAAAGTTTTTCCGTATACTTTTTCAAAATTTCTGTACGTGTCAAGTTTCTGATTAAAAGAAAGGAATAGTATTAAATAGCAAATTTGCATGTTGATGCAGCTTGTGTTCTTACTCTCGCTGCTAGCATTGGCAAATTCTAGAGCTTTAAAAAATTCCTTATACATGGCTCCAAGAAGTAGGCTGATCATGATTTTTACCATTTTGCTTTTCCTAATAAAATTCACCTGGCTTGGTATATGTTTCCAAAGTTTATATTACATTTTTAGCACCAACATTTTCTGAAATTTGATTTTTTCTGTAAACCTGTACTGAGTGTCTTTTGTCTATATTTGTAATTACATTGAAGTATTACTAATATTTTCCAAATCTATTACATTTTCCAGTTCTTATGAGAAAAAATTCTAATATATATTCTATATGATAAGTATTGTCCTCTCATTTTTTAGGTCCTAACTAGTACAACTGTAGGTTAGATATTTCAGATAATTGTATTTCTATAAAAGCAATTGAATCAATATATTCCTATATATTACTGTAAACGTGGAAATTTTGATGATGTGCTCATTTTGACTATATTGATGATTTTCCTTTCCTCGTCAAAATTTATACTTGTCAAACTTCACATCATATATATAGCGTCATAACAGACATTGACCATTGTACAACTTTACTGCTTGATTTTCTCGGCTTTCCCCTATTAAAACTAGACCAAAGTTACTGTTAATTTCCTTTGTAATTATTTATGAAAACATAGCGATATATAATCAAACTTTTTAAAAACCATTGAATATAAGCTAGTGTATCAAATACTTGCATGTGTAACTCAGCGTAATTATCATGCCTTGCTTGACCAAGTTTGTCACCTCGGGCAATTGATCGTTTATAATGAAAACAAAATACAAAACTGTAATTTATGTAATCGAATCTTTCACACTTATAGGGGTTGTACAATCTTACACACTGTAGATGGTCTAACTCTAACTCTGGAATTAATTTTTTTTACTTCGGGAATTCAAAGATACATAACTCTTGATTCATTATTTCGTCAAAATTAACACTCGTCAACTTTCGTAAACAAAAACAAAAAATCAATATTTCAACTCATCAGCATAACCACGTTTACAGTATTTTCTGTTAGAAGATAAAAAGTTTATCAGCATCTAAAATAATATATGAAAAAGACTACACCATTATGCCTATCAATAATGCAAATTTTATTGTGAACATTATTCCAGTTATGATTATAAAATCAGGAAATCAACATATCACTGGGTGGTTTGTATATGATATTTATTTGTGACTGACAGGAATGATTGTACAAAATAACATGAATGTATAAAGTAGATGTGTAACTATGTATCAAGTAATTCAAAGTAATTGAAAAAGTAATTAAACTGTAATCGCCTTATATAGACACAATTAGTGTTAAAAATGGAGTAAATTATAATTACATGCCAAATTTTAGCTGTAATCGATTGTATTACGATGACAAGTAATCGAAAAAATCTCTTCATTACAGATTACCATTGATTACTTGAAAATAGTAATCATTGCAAACGATTACGAGCTGCCCCCCCCTTTCCCCCACATTCTGATTATTTAAAGTAGACATGATACGTTTTTAAAAATGCATACTCAGTTGAGTGGGAATTTCTGATTCAATCAATGAAGAAGTTCAACTTCGGCGACAACTTTGTCAGATGGATCAAAATCTTATATACAAACCCTTATTTTCACATAAAAAATAATGGCTGGATTTCTAGAAAATGTCACATGAATAGAGGCATCCGACAGGGGTGTCCTGTCTCAGCTTTATTATTTCTATTCGTAATGGAAATTTTATCTACAAAGGTAAATAAATCAGATAATGTTCAAGGTTTTAAAATGTGTAATACGCAAAAGGAAATAAAATGCATACAGCATGCGGATGATAGTACTTTTCCAGTCAAAGATGAAGAATCTCTTAAACACGTAATTAAAATCATTGAAGATTTCGGGTCGAAATCAGGTACAAAGTTGAATCTATCAAAAACAGAATGTATTCTATTGGGAGAACTTAAACAGGACATGGAAGGGAAGACTTTCTCTACATGGTGTCAGAATTAACTCTAAAACAATAAAATGCCTCGGCATATACATCGGGCATGACAAAGCAGAAAGAAATGAGAAAAACTGTCTATGCAAATTAAGAGAATTTGAAAAAATACTTGACTCTTGGCGAAGCAGAAAATTAACTATTTTTGGAAAATGTCAGATTATAAATTCTCTATTAATCTCAAAAATATTATACACTGCTTCAATATTGAAAACCCCAGAGCAATCTTTCATCAAAGGTCTAAACAAAATAATATTCTCCTTCATTTGGGGTAACCGTGAAAGAATTAAACGCAAAACCTTAATAAGAAGCATAAACGAAGGCGGAATCGGTATCACTGACTTTGAGTCTAAAGTCAAAGCTATTAAAGCCTCATGGGTTACAAAGATTACGAAAGATAAAAGCAGTCTACTCTTTTCGTAAATGCTGTTTTGTACAAAAATAATATAGATTTTGCGTTTTTAACAAATTCAAGCGTAACAAATTACAATGATCTCATACTAAACTCCCTTCCTGAGTTTTATAAAGAGGTTGTCTTGGCTTTTAATGAATGTAAGGATAATACTCTTACAAATCTTGCAAATCAGAATATTTGGCTTAATAAAAACATTAGTTTTAAAGGTAAACCACTATTCTTTCCGAATTGGACCAAACGGGGTCTTTTTTTAAAGTAAAAGACCTTTTTAATGACAATGGTTTCAAAACTGTACATGAAATTAAAGAAAAATTAGCATCCGCTAATAATTTCCTTTGCGAATATCTAATGAAAGCCGCCTTAAAGAAACACTATTCACGCATAAACATGCAAACTATAAACTTTGTAAACATAAACGCTAATCAACAATTCTATTTTGATGGAAAATTTGAAGATATTTCTAATAAAAAATCTTGTTTTTTCTACAACATTTTAAAAAAAAAGAAATCACACAAGCCAATCATGGAAAATATCTGGTGTAGAGAATTCCAAATAGATAAGAGTCATTTCGATACTATATATGAAAATAAAGTTCGCTCATTATTTGATAAATCTGTATCAGAATTTAGTTATAAGCTACTACATAATCTGTTGACTACAAATCTATCCGTTAGTAAGTGGGATAAAAACAACAGTGGCAACTGTGATTTCTGCGATACACAAGAAAATATCAAACATTTGATTTTCGAATGTTACTTGATAAAGCCAATCTGGAGTAAAATTTCTCAACTAATAAAGATAGATATAACATGGAAAATGATTGTTATAGGCTTTATTATTTTCAACAACAAATGCACTTTTATTTTAGATAATACATTGTCATTCTTGGCGTGTAAGATTTACAAATATAAAATGAAATGTAGAATTGTTAAAGACCAGGTTACATATGAAGGAGTGTGTCGCTTTTTAAGAAACGCGCTGATGCAGTTGTATTTTACTATTAAAAAGACAAAATGTATAAATTCAGATTTTAACATTTTTGAACTGTTGTCACAAAACTTATAATAATATGTATATTAAATGTATCAATTATATATGTACTAGAGGGTGAGCTGGCCCTCTGCATGTACATACATGTGGCAGGACAATATGGACTGTGAAGGTGAACTGTAAAAGCAAGTCCTGCCGCATGATATTACTGTCAACTATTCTGTTTTGTAAAAATTACATATATTCTACTATAACCTTATACTGGTTTTATAAACATGATGTCACTGCTGCATATTTTTGAAGCAGCTAACTATCGTCTATTGAATTGTATAATCATGATGTCATTGATACCAACTATATTTATAATACCGTAAATCTGGAAATGTTTACGTCGATTTTATTTTGCGAATTCTGGTCAAAATGGTGTTGATTAATTTTTACGTTTCAAAATTTTGCAAATGACCACTGCTATGTTTACATTTTCTTATTGGTATTTTATTTTTAAGAAAAATATTTTTGCGAATGCAATGAACTCGCAAATTTGCTAAAAATTTATCTACAGCAAAAATTTCCAGATATACGGTAGTTACTTTCTACTAAAATCATACACTATATTACATAAGTTTATGCTTGATATATTTGTTTAACAAAATTATTCTTGATTTACCTATTATACATGTATAAAATTTGTTACAGATCCACGGAGCCCCTGGCACCCCAGGTGAGGTGTATGATGAGGGCCTCTGCGGAGGTGATGCCTCAAATATGAAACTATGTTTGTATTTGAAATAAAATCTTTTATTAAAAAAAAAAATGCATACACTTAGCAAAGCAATATATCATTATAATCTGTAATCTGAAATTAAAAGTCAGGGTTGAGCTTGAGACAAATCTATAGTATAAGAATACGTAATTAATTTAGTTATATTCATATGTTTATTCTATTTATCTTTAAAATTTGTTGACTACTTTAGAAATATTTAGAAATCACTTCAGATATATGATTTTCTTCATTTGTCCGTTTTTAATCTGAGCAACAAACAGACCGTCATTTGTATCTGTACACAATCCATGGGGTTTACTCAGTCCGCAGTCTAAGTAACGGAGGAACTGTCCATCCTGGTCTATGATGTGGACACAGTAATTCTCTAAATCAGCTGTGAGGATGTGACTCTGACTGTCTGATATGATTCCTAGTGGATAGAATGGTTTGTTTTTGGAGCAGGAATACGTCCAGTGTACCTGAATCTTAGTTTCCCGGCCTGATTGACCACAACTACTGCTCTAGCTCCATAGTCAGACACACAGATATCCAGGTTTCTGTTCTCTGTTATGTAACTACCAAATGAATAGAGAGGTTTACCCTTATCATCAAACTGAATGATTTGTTTCTCTGTGGAGCTAGAGAAACGGACAACCGTTGATTGTTTGTTATCATCATTGTTCAAGATAACCAGGAAATCACCAGAGAAGGTACCACAAACACCGCAAGGTTTCCAGTTCTGTAGTGTGAACATCTCCTCTATTTTCTCATTCTTCACAATGTTCACACTTCTATCCCAATAATCAGTATAAACAAGATCTTCACTTTTTGTAACTGCTATGTCGTATGGCTCGTGTCTTGACTTGGTTGTGATTGACTTGAGTAGTGATCCGTGATTGATGCTGTAGAGTTTCATGGTGTTGTCACCTCCACTTGTCCAGATTTCTTCATCACTCAGACAGGCCACATTGTAAAGCCCTCCATACTCAGTGTCTATGATGGTGACAGTCTCTGGTTCATGAAGCAGCTGTTTGACTAGAGGAGAGGATCCAACTTCTGTTCTCTTCTCTGGTAAAGGAGACAATGCAGCTTCTACATGTAACAAACCATGTGCTGTAACAGTTCTTATGCTGTAACCATGCTCATCGGCTGTTATTGTTGTCGGAATAATTTTTCCACACACATTAGAGATCTGTTTCTGTACAGAAGGGAATGAAAATGTTGCCATTGTTACGTTTAATTTAGACGGAAGTTTCCTGTATTTCTTCTGGTCTAATTGGAAGTTTAACACTTCAAAAATATCTGTAGAATCTATTAATATGTATAGAGAAATAATATCATCATTTATCTTCGTGGTGCATGTCTGTATGTTTGATAAATGTGTCTTTAGAGTTTCATTGTCTTTCTTTTTCATCTCATCCACTTCAGCTTTAAGTTTCTTGACAAGTTCGTCAATTTCTCTGTGCAAGTCCTCTCCATGTTTTGTAATGGCTGTTGAGAGTTTTTCATATTTCATGTCTATTTGACTTAGTGTATTTTGTATATCATCTGCTATGTCCTGGTAAGTTGGATAGATGGATTCCTCCAATTCATGAATTTCAATCTGGATGTCTGCCCTCTTCTTGGAAACGATGTCTTTTAGAAAGTGGACATCATGATCTTTATGTTTTTTGGAGACAATACAAGCGGAGCAAATCGGAATATCGCATTCCCTACAATGCAATTCACAACTGTTATTCGCGTGAATTTTACATCTAGGATAAAAAAGAGTTGATTTCCTGGCCTGAAATTTGATGACGTTGTGGTTCTTTGATTCATCAGAAATCATATGTTTTCCTACGCAAGCTGTACACAGGTTGACAAGACACGTATCACAGTGCATCTGTACCACACCGGTCTCACACAGGTCACATCGCATCACGTCCTGGGCACTGGTACGGGGGTCCATTGTTAGGAATTACTGCCCTGAAATCGACCAATTAAATTACAGTAAAATTGATGATAAATTATTTTATTTTTCAGAATAAATTTTTTTCACGATATAAACGTCACGTACTGTAAATCACGTTTTATTCGCGAGAACTTTATTTTCGCGTAATTACGCGAGACAATGAGCTCGCGAAAATTTAAATTAAAAGTATTCCTTACCGTTATATAGAGAAAAAACAACAATTCGTGAAAATTATGTCTCGCTAATAAAGAGTCAATGACTATATCGCGAAAAAAAGGTGTCGCAAAAATTTAGTGATCTACAGTATATGTTTCATATTAAATATATTTATTATCAGTCAATGTAAATTCTATAACAGTCTACATTTTTGTTCAACTTGAAAATTTTTAACTATAATAATTAGTTTGTAAAAAAAAAAGTGTCATAAAAAACTTATTTATGTAGAATGTCGAAGAATTCATGGTCTACGGAAGATAATGAGTACACGTTCACACGCACAAAGTCTGTGATACCGGTATACAAAAAAACCCTCTTTAAGTAATGGTGGCGACCATATATACATACACTCACGCACAAAATGGGACGGGATGGGGGGAGCGGGCTTGCGACCATTCAAGTTTTTTTTTTGTTATTTTCTATTGCTATATATAGTAATTGTGCTTTATCATTAGCTGACCTATTTTTGTATTCATATAAAGCAGAATTTGTGCAAATTCTTTTGCATGAAAAGGAGAAAACACTTGCTATGGACTTCAATTCGACATTTAGATATATCGACGACGTATTGTCAATTAACAATTGTAATTTCCTTTCCTATATATGTTTATAAGATATATCTTGCCATAATTTTGGTATACTTGAGATTAAAGAAACCTGCAACACCTGTTTCATATTTGGATATATTACTTGTAAAAGACGTTAATGGTAATCTAACAACCACGCTCTATGATAAGCGGGATGACTTTAAGTTTTCTATCGTCAACTTCCCTTACTTATGCAGCAATTACCTTCATTACCTGCATACGGAGTTGATACGTATATCTCAGTTGATTCGGTATGCACGATCATGCTCTACGTATGAACAATTTCCAAAACTAGCTAAATTATTGACAAACAATTTGATGAAACAAGAATATCAGCAGTTTCATTTAAGGTAGCTAAGTACATCCACAGTTTATTTTAGATTTCAATACAGCACCACTTTTTATAATGTTGATGTCAAATATCCAGATGGGGGTATTGATATCATAATATTTTTTTATAGAATTTTTAGTTTTTGTTTTATTTTAGTGAAATGTTTTATTTCAGGTTTATTATTCACAGAATTTCAGAACTTTCAGTGTCAAATGTGGTCGATACAATGTTCTTATCAGCAAATACAATTTATCATTTAATCAAATGCTGGGTGACCTTTTTTTCATCGTTACTGAGTATTGTTAGTCCATTTATTCATTGAACTGACGACGGATTTTTATATTTCCGATCATGACAATGAGCACTAGACGGGTGTGACCGGTCAGCAGGGGATGCTCACTCCTTCATGGCACCTCATCTCACCTCTGAGTTTCGGAGGTCCTTGTGTGCTCTGATCCTATTTTGTATTGCTTTATGGACTTTGCGATTGAATACTTTCGTTATCTCCATATCCTTCATAGTAAACTTGCATGTTGGTACAGGTTGTTAATTAGTCACTCACGTTTTGTTGCTGTAACATGTGGAAGGTCGAACATTTGTAAGTTACAGGGTTTTAAAAAACGATAACGGTTTATCAAAAAGGAAGAGAAAGTTCAAACCCCCCACTCTCCAAGAACTTTCTATTTAGGTTTATTTTTATTTGCCTGATTTGTTGCCCCTCCCCCTTTCTCAATTCGTCGCCGGCAAGTCCTCAAAATATCCTACATTGTATTTGACATTCCAAAACAAAAAGATTAATCATGCAGTTACAGCTATATAAAAAATTTCAAGTATTCCGACTGTTTAACATAAAATATTTACATTCAGTGTAATTTTCTTTATGAAATCCATCAGAAATCCATGAGTTTAAATCTCTATAACACACGTGAAACCTTGTCACTGCGCGTTAGAATACACAGTAGGAATTATATGCATTTTCAATACTTTACGAACACCGAAATGTACATTGTGTGAAACAATTTAATTTAAAAAAAATAGCCTTGTTGAAATGACGTTAAAATACAACAAATGTGCATTTAAAATTAATTTGTCACTTTTTTTCTCGCAATGTTCTTTTGCGTTATTTAACTTTTCGACGTCACAAACGTCACGAACGGCTCTTACGTCTATAAAGCACACCAGTTTTGAAGGGGGCTAAATTCACATCAAAGATTACCGAAATAAACAATTATGAAGAGGAAAAATTAAAGACTGTAAATATAAGTATTGAATTCATATTTTTGGATGTCGTCGGTCCTGTAACACACCTGGCGGTTACCAACAAATTATCATACCGCGCTAAAGCGCATTATTCAATTTGTCGGCACGGCCAAGTGTGTTATAGGACCGAAGACATCCAAAAATATGAATTCAATGCTTAACAAATAACAGTTATTGTATTTAAAAAATATATAAGATTTCTACATATAATTTAATGATTTACCTTGTTTTGGTAATGGTGGCTGTATGTAATTTGATCAGGTGAAACACGGGTATATCTTGGTTATCTACCTGGGTTTATCCTCAACTGAAAGCTAAGGGCAGTTAGATATCAGTAGACTTTGTGCTCTTATAACTGTCATACACCCTGCGAACAGTTCAGTAACTTCATACTAAAATTTATCGTACGATTTTCTAGAACGAACCAAACAATATTGCTATTGGATTTGGTCATATATGCTCTTTAACATACGATTTTGAACAATTTCGGGGTTTTCTTTGAAAGGGAACTACATGTATCAAAAATACATGTACAAGATAAAAATATTTTAATTACCAATCAATGATACATGTACAAGTTATTTTATTTACCAATCAATGATCCATGTACAAAATTCTTTATTTACCAATCAAGGTCACCGAAAGGCTTTTCAACAAACATAAATGTACAATTTAAACATATTTTTAATATAAATTGTTTTTTTAAAAGTAAAAGTAAGATTATTTCCAAAGACGGTGTTTTTTACCTGTTTTGTCAGCTGGGATCACCAAAACATGTGTATAACAATTGTGAACATGAACTTGTATCTTATTTCAACGATGGCGACAGGCAATGGACAAATTGATCAGAAAAAGCTCACTTGAGCTTATGGCTCAATGAGCTTAAAAGTAGGGGAGAACGGGAAAAAAGGAACAGAACAGTAGATTACTGAGACAGAAAAGGAAATCTATAGGCGATTTCGGTTCTAATGAAAGTAAATACCATATAAAAGAACTCTGTATTGCAAGTATTAAAGATGTTTGTCCTGTTTAAATTAACAGTGTAAATCTTCAAGTTATTATCTTGAGATACCCTACCAACCAATGATAACTCGGATTATTGATGTTGACCAGATGACGAATGGTAAAGAACCCGAGGACAGGGTAGCTTTCAGTGATGACGATCTACCAGCTGGTGTGGAGGAGGACAGCGATAATGATCTAACAGCAGGTGTGAGGCAGGGCAGTGATGATGATCTGCCAGCTGGTGTGTGGGGGAAGACAGTGATGATGACCTACAAACTGGTCTGGAGGAGGACAGTGATGACGATCTATCAGTTGGTGTGGAGGAGGACAGTAATGACGATATTATCAGCTGATGTGTGATGGAGGACAGTGATGATGATCTACCAGCTGGTGTGTGGGGGAGGACAGTAATGACGATCTATCAGCTGATGTGTGATGGAGGACAGTGATGATGATCTACCAGCTGATGTGTGGGAGGACAGTGATGACGATCTAACAGCTGGTTTGGAGGAGGATGGAGGCTGAGTTTGGAGTAATGATGATCTACCAGCTGGTGTGGAGGAGGACAGTGATAATGATCTTACAGCAGGTATGTGAAGAAGGACAGTGATGATGATCTACCAGCTGGTGTAGGGGAGGACAGTGATGATGATCTACCAGCTGATGTGGGAAGGACAGTGATGACAATCCCCGCTGGTGTGAGGGAAGACAGTGATGATGATATACCAGCTGATGTGTGGAAAAGACAGTGATGATGATACCAGCTGATGTGGGGGAGGACAGTGCTGACAATCTACCAGCTGATATGGGGAAGGACAGTGATGATGATCTACCAGCTGGTGTGATGGAAGACAGTGATGATGATCTACCAGCTGATG